AGGGTGTGCAAGAGGCAGCTGATCGATGATTCCCTCTCATCGATGTTTCTAACTCTCTATCCCTCTCTCTTCCTCTCTGTGAAAAATTAATAAAATATATATTTAAAAAATAAAAATAAATAAATAAATGATTAAATAAATAAATAAATCTGCACTGAATAGAAAGGGAAGGCATACCATCAGATCCTAGTCTAGGAAAGGGAATGCCTTTGAAGAGCTATTCTTTATCTCATATTTTACCAATGGTTTGAAAAGCCAGCTCTGGTGTTTGGCTTTGTATGAGCATTTGAGTAATGTCTACATAGAGTTTCTCAGATCACTCTCTTTTAGAATACCGTGTTTCCCCGAAAATAAGACATCCTCCGAAAATAAGACCTAGTGCATGGAAAAATAAGACATCCCCTGAAAATAAGATCTAGCGCATCTTTGGGAACAAAAATTAATATAAGACACTGTATTATTTTCGAGGTAACAGGGTAGTTGTCTGAAAGCCTGGTCTGCCAACAGAGGGCCTCACCAATGCAGGGAGCTCTCGCCCCCCTCCCCCTCCCACACACACAGCAAACCTAGTCCTCTCTGTGATTCTAGCGTTGTGTGTAGTATTCTTGGAGAGGAGACTTTCAGAAATAGGACTTAACTTCCTTCTACTTAGTATTGCCCTATAATTAGAAACTTTTTTTTTACACTCAAAGGAGTTTACATCTGAATTAGAATAAAGTCAGAGGAGTGATTTTATACTTGATATGAGCAGGATCCTGGCTCAGGCTCCAGCAGTCACAAAGAGGAAGATGTATTAGTCATTAGGGAACTGGATTCCACTGGACACAAATCCAGTTATTGTCTTTCCTACTATCATTAGCTTCTTCATTTTGGCATAGGAAAGAAAAAAATTACTTGCTACACTAACTGAAATCATATGAAGTTTATCTGTCCTGATGCTGTATTACCAGATCTTTTAGAGCTAGGAGTATATATGATGCTCCTACTATAAACACACACATACACACAAAACAAATTTTATTGAGTAATTTTGTCAAGAAACCTAAAACAGGAGGATACTTCTGGTATTACATATTCAAAGGAATTAATTTTTTGAATAATTGATTTTTTAAAACCAGGTTTTAAATGGAGATTAGGATGTGGTAGAAGAGACACAAGTTGACAGCTGCCTGGAGATCACTGTATTGAAGTACATTGATAGTAACAGTCTATTTGTAGAGCTTTCAGCCTTATAATTCCACTCCCAGATCAAACAGTGGCTTCTGAGTTGGGGGACAGGCAGACCAGAGTAACATGGATGTGGGTACTAGGAAGTCTTTAGATACAGCAAAGAAGAGAAGAGCAGAGCCTGAGAATGTGTTCCTTTAGGTCATATGGTACAATGGACCTGTTTGTAGATCTCTTAGAAGGTGAAAGAGCTGTATCCTGAGCAGTATCCACAGAGTCCCTAACTGCAGGGCCAGTGCTTGTCCTGGATACGCCATTTTCCTTAGAGTACCCAGCGGGCAAAAACTCAGAACTCTGCCAAGGAAGCCAAAAGTAGAGGTCCTGAGTCCTTGTCCACAGCCACTACAAGCCCCAAATCCTCCTTCACTGCCTGCAAGATGGATGAGAGGTATGGATATGATTCCCCACTTTTTCTGTTCACTTTGGCCTGCATCATAGCTGACCTCCAATTATACATGACCTATGTGCCTACTGGAACTAGACATTGCTTTCATAATGCATGCCCTTTAAAAGTTGGGGTCCTGTTCATTTCGTTTCAATGGACAAAAGATGTTTTCAGAGGTAGAAGCTAGAAGCCTGGTGGGAAAGCAGTACTTCAATACCCCTTGTCTTTGTTCTTGTATTTAGAAGAAAGGTAGGTGATAGAGGTTCTTGAATGGAGTATTTGGAAAAGTGTCAGGTGTTAGGGTGAACTCAAGGACAGTATAGCAGGACAGTACTTATTCAGTGTCCTGTAGTGTGTGCAAAAGTCTTCTGCAATGAAGGCCAATAAAAGGAAACACTGAATGAACAGTAGGGGTGACTTTCCCTGAAGGTTAGTACAGTCATGGGGATCTGTCCACTTGACCTTTGAGGTAGTTTGAGCCAGAGAGGCTAGATATGGCTTTACATTTTTGGTTCAAAACCATCTTTCTGTCTGTCTGTCAGTCTGTTCCATTCATCCTTTCAGTACTCCTCTTGTGAAGGGTCTCATGGCCACCTATGCTCTCCATTTTCTGTCCTCGGTTATCAGGGTTCTCTCTAGTGAGTCTTCAGTTGATTATTCAGGGAGTTTTTCTGTATTTTAATTGTAATTCCAGTTTGGTCCTGGGAGCATATCTGTGCAATATCCACCTACTCCCAATTCCCTTCTTGTCATGATGTGAGAGGATACAATGCCAGACCTACTCCTGAATCTGTGTAACCACCCCTTACTTGTAGTAAATGGCTTGGTGTCACTTGTTTTAGGAGATCCTTGTGAAGTCTTTATATAGGATCTATGTTTTCTGGAGCAATACTTCTCAGGACAGCTGCATTGAATATCCCCCTGCCTTGGTGCCAACCAAGCAATCCTTCACTTTTTAAAAAATCTCAGTGATATTGTCATATTACCTATTCTGCTAAGCTCCACTCTATCCCTGAACTGACTCATTTAGTAGCAAAGAGACATTCTTATGCCAGTTATGTATAGAGAATGTAGGAAGAAGGTGGAAAGAGAAAGAGAAGAGATGAAGAAGAGTGAAAAGGGTGTTTTATTCTTGACCTAGGTCTGAGAATAGGCACCCAAGTTGTTAATCCAAGAAAAGATATTTGGTTAGCACTGCTGGAATCTCTCCTACATCTAGGTCGGTAGATCTCAAACTTAAGTGTGCATCAGAATCCCCTGGAGGGTGTATTCATACAGAGACTGCTGGGCACCATCCCCAGAGTTTCTGATTGAGAAAGCGTGGGACAGGGCCTGAGAATTGGCTTTACTAACAAGTTCCTGGATGAAGCTGGTGTCGCTGGTTTGAGAACCATGCTTCTCTGGGTCTAGAGGAAAGAAAAACATCTGAATAATCCACCTCTCTGGGACATCTGAAGGACCAGCCTGAGAGGGGATGATTTGCCTTACTCTAGACCTTTAGTCATGGCTCATGAAGAGACATAGAATTAAGGTCTAGCACCCTTGGGAGGTGAGTACAGTATCATCTTCACCATCACCGATCTGAACAGAGGCCAGTGTTCTGCATTATCTGAAATAGTGAAAAAAAGGAGTAGAGCAAACTTTGCTTTCTTGTGCCTTTTTGCACAGAAGTAAATGGAATTAACTGGTGCTTTCCTTAATTTGATGTCTGTTAGCTTGGATAAACTGGTAAACCAGAATATTAGAGATAATGGGCAACATTTTGTCTGTTATCAAATAAAGGGAAATTATAATAATATACAACCTTTGAAGGCTTGTCTAAAGGAAGGTATTTGCTGTAAAGCCCAAACCATTGGCTATCTCTCTTTTTTCCCCCCTGGAAGTTCAGGATTGGACATGATGTTTTACTTGTTTTCTCTCTCCCCTGTCAGTAATAACTTAAGTATTAATTATTCTGTACTTATTGCTAATGCTTTAACAATAGTGATGCTTTATTCTGGTCCCCAAAAGGGGGGGAAAAGCAAGGAGATTGATGAGGATATTGTTGGAAGGTGAAAATGAATGTGAATGACACTGAGAGAATCTTATTTTTTTTTCTATCAATTCCTGAACTTTAAAGATAATTCTAAGATCAGTTTTTCATCAAACCTGACCTTATGGCCAAATAACATCAAGCTTTTCTCCTCCTTGATGTTTCCTTGAAATCACAAGATGTTACTAATTTGAGTACTTAGCAGCAGTTGAGGGGTGGCATAATATTTTGCGTTTCATTTTTTAGTCTAATATAGGAAGCCCGGCGGCACTAAATAAAAATGTCACTGTGTAAAATGTAAAGGCTTTCTGTCACAAATGTCTTTAAAAATGCATGAGGGACTGAAGATTTGATTTATCTTATCCTCTTTCTGTGATTTATTCATATTTAATGTTAGTTTCAACACTTGAAGCATGAAGACATTTTTCAAATTAAAAACTGTGGTGAATCAGTTATATTTGAAGAAACATTCCACTGTGCTGGTTTTGAATTATGCAGTTCATTCATTTTCATGTCTCCAAGGGGGAGATATGTTTGGTCTTCCCATTGGCTGGAATTCTCACTGGGGAAAGCCTTCATCATTGGAGAGGTTGGTTCACCCAATTCCTTGGTTTTGACAGCTGTTTCCCTGGTATCAATAGCCATTTCCCTTGGGCTAGAAAGGGATGCAGTAAGGCACACTTGCCCTGGACACTCTGACTTCTTGCCTGTCTGTTTGTCTGTCATTAATCCTATTCTTCTTTCATTCTCTCTCTTAATGACATTTTATTGATTTCAGAGAGGAAGGGAGAGGGGGAGAGAGAGAGAAACATCAATGATCAGAGAGAATTACCAATTGACTGCCTCCCGCATGTCCCATACTGGAGATTGAGCCCACAACCCGGGCATGTGCCCTGAGCAGGAATCGAACTGTGACCTCCTGGTTCATAGATCAATGCTCAACCACTGAGCCATGCTAGCTGTGCTTCTTTCTCTCTTTTTATTCATCTCTCTTACTACCATTCTTATTCTTCCTCTCTGTAGGTACTTTTGAGCACTTCCTCTGGGATAGATGCTGTGCCACCACAGATCTAGTTAGCTTCTCATAAAATGAAGTGAAATGTACTTATGTTCTCTGTTCAGTATAATAAACCTTTCAATAAGGACATCAAGAAAGAATGGGTAAAAAGATAGCCAACGCCCTCTTTACCTGATTTTCCCGCTTGTTTGTCACTGAGGTTCAGACCAATACACAGAACAGCATAAAGCTTGTGTGCTGTTTTCAGACCCAGTTGTGACCATTAAGATCTTGATTTTATTCCTTTGAGTAATGGAGCGAGTCATCTTGATAAATAGAATAATCTTTTTCTTTCTCAGACTATTGGAAAGAAGTTGCCTCCAGCTACAGCAGCTCAAGACTCATCAAAAACAGAAATGGACAGCAGGACAAAGAGTGAGTTTCCTTATTTATCCATTTTACATTTGAAAGCAGCTAAGGGTTTTTAAATAATTGAAATGCTTTTAATAAAATCCTCACGTAATCTTAAAGGCTTTTTTCAACACATCAGGAAAAATACACATAAGTGTTTCATTGAGTCCCAACAGTAGGATGGGCACAGTTAGATTCAGAATTCTTGGGGTTGGGGTGTCTCCTTTAAGAAACATGGTTATGTCCTGCCTTGTGTATCTAGCCCATGTGCAGAGTCAGGGCTTATCCATATCTACCCAGAGCATTATACCTAGTTCCAGAGGCAGAGAGATTCAAGAGAATGGCAACTTAAGCAATTTAGGGGTTCTCAGGTGTTCAAATCAGAGAGGTCTTATCTTTGATCATAATCACTCAGCTAACACTCCCAAACCTTGACTTCCTGTCAGCATTCTCAGCACAACTCTGCTCAAATCCCTTTAGATACAAATGTCTTTCTTCTATTGAGCGAGATATGTTCATCCTGTAATTTCCCCCCATGGTTATAGTCTCTGGGTCTATATTGATATTTGCCCATTTTCTTCCTAACAGTCCTTTATGTATTTGAGGTCAATTGTCTCTCCAGAACCTTCCCAAAGGTTAATATTCCAAATTCTAGAGTTGCCAGGTAAAATACAGGATGCCTGGTTACATTTGAATTTTAGATAAACAATGAATAATTTGGGGGTTATAAGTATGTCCCATGCAATATTTGTTGTTTATCTGAAATTCAAATGTAATTCGGCATCCTGTGTTTATATTTGTTGAATCAGGCAACTCTTCATTTCCTTAGTCACTCCTCTCATGACTTAGCATTCTGAGTGTGTTCTAGTATGTCTTTTCCCAGAAACAAGTACTTCAATTCCTTCTAGGAATTTTATTTTGCTTTGTTTTATTTAGCTTCAGATTTTTTAATGAGGACAATGTAGACAGACTACTAATCTAGTTTGGACAACCAAAGATTGAGAGAAAATACTGTATTATTATGATCTCTGAATGCATAATAATCTGGCCACTCAGTGTGTGTGTGTGTGTGTGTGTGTGTGTGTGTGTGTGTGTGTGTATTAGAAGCCTGGTGCATGAATTTGTGCATGGATGGGGTCTGGCCAGCCTGGCCAGGGGGAGAAGACATGGTGGTTGGCCGGCCTGCCTGCTGATCGAACTCCTGGTCAAGGGGACAATTTGCATATTAGCCTTTTATTATATACGAAATACACTGAGTGGCCAGATTATTATGCATTCAGAGATCATAATGATCTGACTGTGTGTGTGTGTGTGTGTGTGTGTGTGTGTAACAAAATTATAATTAATGTAAGAGCAAGTATAGATTTGTTCTTTTAATTGCACAATAATATATCAGGAACTCCTTTTACAGTGCAAAATAGGTAGTTTTGAAAGCAAATAAGGGATACTGCCTTAGACATAAGAAAATGAATTTATGGGAGCTTCTAAGCTAAAAATGGTGGTTTTGATAAATAACTTCATGATGATATAGATGCAGATGCTAGAGCTCTTCCTTAATGTTTATGGTTCAAATGAACCAACATGCCTTCCATTTATTAATGATATAGTCAGACTCTGGATAATAGAGTAATGCTGTAATCCAGCAGTTCTCAAATTTAAGTGTGCTCAGAATCACCTGAAGATCTGGGGCCTGAAAATTTGTTTTTCTAACAAATTTCTGGACACTACTGATTCCTGGTCTAGGTCCCGTACTTTGAGGACCACTGTTCTAAGCTTACAAGTGTTCCTAAGGAGAAAATGGCCTGCATCTATTCATGCAGGTTATAGGCTTATCTTGCTAACCCTACCTTTAAGGTACTAAAATCTTCAAGATTCTTTGAGTCCTGAAAATTTTTTTCAAGATTTGACAGTTAAACCATTTCAGAAATATTGCTCTTATTGGACAGTAGCCCGTCTTTCCTTCCATTCAACTGCTTATTTTGTTGCTATGACTATTAACAAGTTTATAGAGGATCAAGGTTACTAGGCAAATTGCTTGGATAGATAGAGTGGGCAGTAGGCAGGAAAAGGGGAAGGGGTACATGCAGCAAACCCCAAAGGCAATTGGAATGTGGTCCCCTGGGACTGGCTATCCTCATAACATGTGACAACCAGGGATGGGCCATCACCTACCTAACTTGTGTTTGCAGAAATAATAATCTGAGAATCAAAGAGTGTTTTGTAATGGAATAAAAGTTTTAATAGACATGAAAGAGAATTTCCATGTAGATTGTTAAATGCTGTCCAGACTAAATAGGACCTTGATTGACTTATGGGTTATGTTGGGGGAAGGTTGAGTAGAAGGGAACTGAATGTCACTTGTGAAGATTTGGCACAAAACAGGACAATCTGCAAGGCATGCTTAAGTGACTAAACCTTGGGTCCCAACAACTGGCCTTAGTATAAGAGCATGTCCTTGATACTTTATCTTTGCTCTTCGTAATGTCTGTAGATAGGAGGATACATCTTTTTGGAAGAATTAGGTAGAAAGGGGTTAGCTGTGTTTTGGAGCAGTGCTGGCCAATAGAAATACTATATGAGCCACATACGTGATTTTACATTTTCTAGGTACACATTTAAAAAATAAAAAAAGAAACTGGTACACTTAATTTAAATATAATTTATTTAACTCAATATCCCGAAAGTTGTCATTTCAACATGTAACATATATAAATTATTAAATGATAATTTCATTCTTTTCTCATACAAGTCTTCATAATCCAGTGTGTATTTTACAGGTATAGCACACCTTAACTCAGAGTAGCCACATTTCAAGTGCTCAGTAGCCCCATGTGCCTAGTGGCCACCAATTGGATGGTGTAGGTTGAGAGTTATCCTGGGACCTAAGATGGGCTTTCTGGCCCTGGATGTTAACACAGTTGCAAATGCTTAGCTCCTTTAAGCATGTGGGAGAGTCGTGGCTCTAGCCCAGTGGTTGGCAAACCCATTAGTTAACAGAGCCAAATATCAACAGTACAATGATTAAAATTTCTTTTGAGAGCTGAAAACCGACTTCTGCTCATGGGTCATGAAGTTTCAGTCACACTGTACCTGTGCGACTGCAAGTGTTATTTTGTGGAAGAGCCACACTCAAGGGGCCAAAGAGCTGCATGTGGCTCGCGAGCCACAGTTTGCCGACCACTGCTCTAGCCCATGCCTTGTTCAGTCCTACAAATAACTTTTTTGTTGTTGTTAATCTTCACCTGAGGATATTTTCCTTTCTTTTTTAGAGAGAGAGTGTGAAAGCAGGGGGAAAGACACAGAGAGAAACATCAATGTGAGAGAAACACATCAATTGACTGCCTCCCAGAATTGAATCTATGACCCTTCAGTCTGAAGGCCAACACTCTATTCACGAAACCAAACTGGCCAGGGCCAAATACTTTTCTCTCTTTTTTATTTAAATCCTCACTCCAGGATATTTTTTCCATTGATTTTTAGAGAGAGTGGAAGATAGAAGTAAAGACAGAGAGAAACATCAAAGTGAGAGAAACACATCAATTAGTTGCCTTCTGCATGTATCCTGACCAGGGCCTGGGCCAGGAAGCATCTTACAACCAATGTACGTGCCCTTGACCAGAATCAAACTCGGAACCCTTTTCTCTATCCATTGAGCCAGACATCTCTTAATTATGTCCACCCACTTGGCTCTCTGGAAGCATCATGGTGGGAGGGATGGTTATTAATGAAGAGTTGTTTTACAGAGGCTGGGCTGTGTGTTTTGACCAAGAGTCAGAAAGCACATATTCTAGGACCAACTCTGTTATTAGCTGTGCTGTCTTGGGCACATAATTTCCTTTCATTGTCTGTTTTGTTTGTGAAGTCAGAGGCTTGTACTAGAGAGAACCCCTGAGATTCCTCTCAGCATCTGCATCCTCTGATTCAATTCCAAAATTGTTACGATTCAGAGGGAAAGGTTTCTGCATTCAGAGAATTGAGCTGCGGGAGGGGAAAGACAAAAGGAGGGTCTAAACAATTTATGAGATGATGTCATCGGGCATAGGTGTAAATATTCCTGTAAGAGGGTAGTAGGGCAGGAAGGAGATTTACCACTGCCAGAGAAGCCTGGAGGGATATGTATTGGCCAACATTTTTCATCTACCCTGAGCAGGAATTTCTGCAGTTTAATCTCACTCCTCATATATACTCTGGCTTTCATTTAGAGAGCAAATTCTGAGGTAATTATTTTTCCACTAGAGGCCCAGTGCATGAAATTTATGCATGGATAGGGTCCCTACTGGCTGCCAGCTGCTGGCCGGGGTCTCCCCACCCCACCCCACCCGCTCCTTGCTGGGGCTTCCTTTCATACTCACCTTGGCCTGGCACCACCCGCTCACCTGCTCCACCATCCTGCCATGGTCCTGCTCTCTTCAGGGCCCATAGGGGCTGGCAGCAACTCCACTGCCACCCACTGCCAGCACCACATCACCAACGCCCGCCATATTCCATGCTGCCCCCTGGTGGACAGCGCACATCTAACTCCCAGTTGGTCAAACTCCTGCCCATAGGAACAATTTGCATATTAGCCTTTCATTACATGGCATAATGTCCATGAGGCACCCTAGTCCACTAAAAAGCCCTTTCCATTTAGAACTTTTGCTGCTTCTGGATTCTGATACAACACCCATATTCAGGTGGAAGGACACAGTATGCTGACCAACAACTAGAAATGACCCTGAGCTTGGGAACAATGCATCCTCCTTCCTTCTGGTTGGAAGACAAACATATGTCAAAAATTTCCCAGCAGCACAGAGGAGAGAAGCTCCCTCCTGCATAGCTGCCTCCTTAGCATGCTAAATACAAACTCCCATCAGGACCAAGAGTTACAATGATTGAAAAAATGTTCATGTCAATTGGTATTTTCTGAGTGAAAGTGAAATTCAGCTGATCAGGATTTATTTGAACAGCTAACATCATCTCCCCTTTCCCAATAAAGCTTTTATGATATTGAAATTCATCTGAAACACATGCTGGGGAACAGATTG